GGAGAGAGCGCTGTACATTCACTCCCCCCACCTACAATCCCTGCCGGTACGAGACTCGAACCCGCAACCTTTGTGTTACGAGTCCGACTCTCTAACCATTAGGCCACGACTTCCCCATCGTGGCCTAAAATACACTGACTCCAAGCTTTTGAATGCTAGAGTGTATAATGTTACAAAAGATTTCTATTTCAGATAAATGCTGATCTTTGGATCTTTCTATTCATCAAAGAATCCTGAACAAATTCTACTCAGCTGTTTTCAACATAACAATAAAAATAATAAATGTTTCTTGAGCAGCAAATCAGCATATTAGAATGATTTCTGAAGATCATGTGACACTGAAGACTGGAGTAATGATGCTGAAAATACAGCTTTGATCACAGAAATAAATTACAGTTTAACAGATATTCACATAGAAAACAGTTATTTTAAATAGTAAAAATATTTCAGAATATTACTGCTATTGCTGTATTTCTGCTCAAATAAATGCAGGCTTGGTGAGCAGAAGAGACTTCTTTAAAACACATCTTACAGTTCAAGAACTTTTGACAGGTAGTGTGTTTGAGGAGACTGTCAGTACCTTGTCCCGGCGGCGTGATGGTGATGGTCTGTCCTGTGAACTCTTCATCGAAATATCTGGTGTCTGTTTCTGAGCTCACCTGTGGTTTGAACGGAGGAACCAGCTGAGGAACACAGAAAAGCGGTCAGATGTTCCTCGTCAAGCATTCAACACAACACTTCTGCTTCACTACACTGTTAGTGATGTTAACGAAACCTATGACGAAAAATGTTCGTCAACGAAGTTTTCCCCTGATGAAAACGAGACGATAATTAGGTCATGACACGATAACTGAGACTAAATGAACATGCAATATCGTTGACTAAAAAAGACGAGCCTAAAATGTAGTTAAAATGTAGTAGTTGTTGAAAAAAGTGGAGCCAAAACATTTCAGACGGCTGTACAAGACTCTATTATACGAGCGTTCAAGTTTGCGGTTGCCAGATACCAAGAGCTCAAATCCCCCAATCAGAGGTGCCGTGACCTGAAAACACAGACATATAAGTAAGCTAGCGTTCAGCGATCTCCGTTTGAGGTATTCTGCTTAAATGAAAGTGTCCTTCAGCAGTCTGTGTTCTGTATTGTTTGCTGATTGTAACGTTACTTACGCAACCTCTGTGCAGCAATAAGTCTTTTTTGCCGTCGTTTTAAAAGAGAACATTAATGCAATTTGGAATTACTATTAGGAATTTCTCTTTTATAATATTTGAGAGTAGGTTTTTGTTACACCAGCTTTCATAACGTAGACAGAGCGAGTCTTTGGTGTTTATTTAGCCTCTAATTGATATCCTGTTATAAATCTGTACACTAACGTTAAACGAGGTGAAATAAACCATGCATACGAGTCGATATTCTACTGATTTGTGCTTATTGGTGAAAGAGCAACTTCTGACGAAATCTAAAAATACATTTCACAAATAACAACAATCATTGCAGTTAAAATTGAGCAAAATAATAATTTTTAGCATTTTAACCATTATACAGTAAGACGAAAATATGACGAAAATGTGTAAGTTTCCACTGACTAAAACTTTTAAAGACATTTAGTTGACTAAAACTAAAACAGGCCAAGTTGACTAAATATGATAAAAACGAAAAGTTACATTTGACACAGGACTAAGACTAAGACTAAATAAAAAAAATAGCTGACAAAATTAACACTAATTCACTACACTGACAAACATATATGCTGTAGGAGCTGTTTCTGTTTAGTGTCTCTATATGATCCGTTTGTGATTCTGTTTCATGCCACTAGTACTTCTAATGACTTTCAGTGAGCTGGGATCTCTCAGATAGATGACTGTGTGTGTGTGTGAGTGTGTGTGTGAGTGAGTGTGAGTGTGTGTTGAGTGTGTGTGTGTGTGAGTGTTTGTCTGTGTGAGAGAGTGTGTGTGTGTGTGTGCGTGAGTGTGTGTGAGCGTGAGTGTGTGTGTGAGAGAGTGAGTGTGTGTATGTGTGTGTGTGTGTGTGTTCACTGCAATAGAGAGTTTTTACCTTCTTTTCGTAAACGTCTTGCCACACAATTCCAGTGAAGAATTTGTGCTGCATGATTTCTTTCGCATCATCCGGGCCACCACCTAACCTGAAAACACACAAAACACACACAATCTCCATCATTCATCCATCCACAACATCACATCCGGAGAGTGTGTGAAATATCATGGAGAACATGACTGTGTGTCTGCCAGCACTGCAAAAAATCATCTTCTTACTCTGTATTTTTGTCTTATGTTCCAGTACAAAACACTGTTAAATCAAGATACTTTTACTGATGTAAAATGACAAGATACTTGTTTTCTGAAAAATGAAGCGAGTTTATGCTCCAAACAAAAACAAATATCTGCCAATGGACTCAGAGAAATACAATTGTTTTGCCTTTAAAGTTTTCTTTTCATTCTTTTCCTTTTTTCCCTCTCACTTAATTTTGGTACATTTTTCAGAAAACAAGATTTCAGAATATTTAGATAAAAATATTACAAAATCTAAGTAAGAAAAGTAAGATTTTTTTTAATTTACTGTAATAGTTATGAATATTTTGAATTAGTTTTTATTTTAACATTTTAAATTTTAGTTTTAGTTGAAGATTTAGTGTCATTTTTATTATTTTTTTTAGTTTAAAAAAAAAATATGTCTAATAGTTTTATTTTTAATTTCATTTTTATTTTAGTACTTCAACTTAAACAAAAATAAGTATTTTGTATGAAAAATATACCAAAATGAAATGAGTTTATGCTTAAAACAAAAACAAATATCTGCCAATGGACTCAGAGAAATAAAATTGTTTTCTTTTCATTCTTTTCATTTTTTCAAGATTTCAGAATATTTAGATAAAAATATTACAAAATCTATGTAGGAAAAGTAAGATTTTTTTATTTTATTTACTATAATAGTTATTAATAAGTTTTTATTTTAACATTTTCCATTTTAGTTTTAGTTGAAGATTTAGTGTCATTTTTATTCTTTTTTATTAGTTTTATTTTTAAATATGTCTAATAGTTTTTATTTGTAATTAAATTTTTATTTTAGTTATTTTATTACTTCAACAAACAAAATTGAGAAATAGTGCCTTGTTACTATAAGTAACTGAAGTAAAATTTTTTATAAAGTTTTTTATATTTTATTTTATTTCACCTAACATTCATTTTACTTCAAGCAACAATAATTGTTTTTAAAATTTTTAGAAAAAGAAAATCCTCTTATGCAACATGAGGATGAAATCTACATTTACTTGAAAAAATAAAATGACAAGATATTAAGTCTTGTTTTATGAAAAATTTACCAAAATGAAGTGAGTTTATGCTTAAAACAAGAACAAATTTCTCAGAAAAAATAAAACAGCTTAGAATGAAGTTGATTTTTCTGACTCCATCGGCACATATTTGTTCTTGCTTTAAGCATAAACTCACTTCATTTGGATATTTTTCAGAAAACAAGACTTTTTGCTCATGTCTTGATTTAAGAATGTTTAGATATTTGTGCTGAAAACAAGACAATAAGTCTGTCTAGGAGCGAGGTGTGTGCTTTGCATGCTGGGATCAGTGTGAGCTGTAGTGTGGGAGCGTGTTGCTCCGCTGACCGTTGTTGGGGGTCTTTCTTGAGCAGGCCGGACAGCAGGGACTTGGCATCGGGCGCGAGTGTTCGAGGGAAGCGGATGTCCTCCATCAGGATGAGCTCAAACAGACGCTCGTGATCCTGGTTATAGAATGGCAGGCGGCCGCACATCATCTCATACATCACCACACCCAAACCCCACCAGTCCACCGCACGACCGTAGTCATTATCCTCCAGCACCTGCGCACACACACACACACTCACACACACACACACACACACACACACACACACACACAGCTTCATCAATACATGATGCGGTCTGAGCATCCTTTCTGCTCACAGGCAGCAAATATTGACTAAACATGGATGCATTTAAAATATACAGTCAAAATATTAATTAAGTCAGCTTGCACTCTTGCAATTTTCTGTGCAATCAAATGCTCTCTAGAATGAGAATGCCCCTCCCCTGAGTTTATTATTATTGATAAACTATTACAATTTGAGTTTTTATTTCAATATTTTTCATTTAAATTTTTAGTGAATTTGTTGTGTGCTTTTGCCATTTTTATAATTATTATTATTATTTAAATTTTTTTTATATGCCTTTATAGTTTTTAGGTTATTTAAATTTCATCATTTTAGTTCATTAACTAAACAAAAATTAGCAAAGTTGCCTGAAATTAATTTAAGTTTATTAAATTTAATTAAGCATTGTGAATCTGTGGTTTTTACTTCATATACATGCTAAAACATGGACACATTTAAAATATACACTGCAGAAAATGATTTTCTTAATTAGTATTTTGTCTTGTTTTCCAGTACAAAAATCAAAATACATTTACTTGACAAGTGAAATTACAAAAGATATTGAGTCTTGTTTTCTGAAATGTTTATCAAAATAAAGTGAGTTTATAATTAAAACAAAACAAACACGTGCCAGTGGGGTCACAAAAATCAGCTTAATTTAAAGATAAAAAATACAATTTTATTTTCCCGACCCCATTGTTTGGATATTTGAGTTTAAAAATAAGACAAAAATACTAAGTAAATTTTCTTTTTATATTTTATTATTTATTTATTTTTGTAGTGTACTATTATAGTTATTAATATTTTGAAATAATTTAAAACAAAAATTCATTTTGGTTTTAGATTAAGTTTTAGTATAATTTTTATTTGTTTTTAATGGCCAATTTTTTTTATTCATTTTTATTTTTAGTTATTTTGGTACAATTTTAGTGAATGACATTTTTAAATATTGCCTTGCTACTGTGACTAACGGAAATAAATAAATTATATATATATAATTATATATAATATATAAGAGCGCTGTAATAATATGTGTGTGTGTGTGTGTTTGTGTGAGTGTGCGTGCGTGAGAGTGTGTGTGTGTGTGTGTGTGTGT